GTCGTTTGGGGTTGAACTTTCAATGCTGAGGGTTTAGGCGTTGCTTCGGAGTTCCATGCTCAGGGTTGGTTACGTTACATCGCACTATACAATGCAAAATCAACAAACCCTGAACCCCAAACCAGCAACCCTGAAACCTCTCCTAAGCCCTAAGCCCTAAACCCTGAAACCTTAAGCGTAACCCTCAAAAAACTGACCCGAAGAGCTCGCCATTTGACTTGATCGGCTAATTACCCTGTTTGCCCCTTACTTTGGGTTTAGGGTTGAGGGTGTGCCCACACCCTACGACCGCATGTACTAAGTCACTACAGCATGCAGGAAACCCCCTTCGCCGTGGGGAAAGCCCCTACTGGCCTAATGAAGCCCAAAGCCAAACGCCATAACCCAGGTTCCAGAACCTCAAGACTGCGTAGCCTTTGTACTACTGCCCGGGATTTAGGAGTGAAGTGTACAGCCTACATGGGAGTTTCCGAAAATTACGGGTACCTTATTTGGGGGGTGCTTTCTTAGGGTCCCCTATTTTTGGAAACTCCCATTTAGGAGTGAAGTGTGCAGCCTACATGATCGCTCTTAGCCTCAGACCAAAGGCCTGGTAACTTCACTGTAGCTCTGTAACTCGAGCTGTAGGAGACAGGCACGGCAGTGCGAAACCCATGTTCAGGTCTCAATTACTCGCTGTGACCCGGTTGTGAGTAAGGACCACTGGAATTGCGGCTTAGTTTCGAGGGCCTGGGGTTTGGGGTTGAAGTGCTGGTATGTTGGGTTTGGGTTTTGGGGTTTAGGGCAGGCTGCGTGCACGGGTGTTGAAGACCCGAGAGGTCTAGTTGTGTTTTAGTCCAAAGGCAGACACTCTTGCAACGAGCTGGTGTGTAATGTTTATCGCACTTAGCTGGTAGGGCTGGAAGCAAACAGTAAACAATGGTGGCTACAGTCTACAGTACCAGTATCATTATATAGCGGTAAGAATACAAAACCGAAAATCACAAGAAGCCAAGAAACCCCAGCACAAAGCATCACAAGATCTTCAGCTATTGACCAGCCTGGTGCTAGCTAGAATCTGTGATCGTACTGCTTCCGGAGTCAAAAGCCCTAATTACTACTATGACTATTCAACAGAATATGCCCCCAAATCTGTACCCCAAACAGTAGCTAAGCTATCAGAGAAAACAAGCCTGACATAGCACACAGACACACGTCCAACACGGAAAGTGTACGATCCCCTACAGTGCGCCACCCAAACCCTTGAACTCCAAACCCTGAGCCCTGCGGACTTGAAGATTGCAGCCAGCCCTCATAACCAACAACCCGAAACAACAATACCCCAACTCCCCGCCCAACAGAATAAAGCAATGCCAAATCCCTAATAACTTAAGGGTGCAAGTCAAGCCCAGGAGTTCCAGACAGGCCGCACCCAGGTCCCTGAACATTGCGTTCACAAACCTCGGCCAAGTAGTTTTTGGGATTACCTAGACCCTCAAAAGTAGGTAAAATAATGGCCTAAACCCTGTAAAAGGCTATTATTCTACATACTTTTGGGGCCCAGGTAAGGGTTTAGGGCTATAGGGTCCTGGCTTTGAATTGTGGCCGTGGGCGCAAGATTTGGCATAGGGCTTTGTCTGCGGGAATAGTGGGATCCAGTGCGTAGGGTTCAACCAAAACCCTAAACCCTAAACCCTAAACCCCTAAACCCTAAACCCTAAACCCTAAACCGTTCAGGGTTCACGGCTTCACGCCCTCAACCCTGAGACCCGAATCCAAACCCAAAGCCCTAAAAGCAGAGGCTAGAAGCCCCAAACCCAGAACTCAAGACCCTATGACCCAAAACCCCCAAAACCCCAAATCCTAAAACCAGCAAATCCTGAAACGTTGGGCTATCCTAGGGTGCTGCACCTGAGCAGTAAGCTTCTGCTTAGGATAGCTTCAGAAGGTGCCCCCACGGCTCCTCAATTCAATAGGGTTTAGGGTTTACGGTACACATCACCATCCGGCACGCTGAAGCACATGGCAGGATTGGGAAGATGACGACGTGGACAAACGAGGAATTCAGGTGATAGTGCTGGTGGTGCTGGTGGCTCGTGGGTGTGCCGAACTTGCTCATGGTCCATACGGCGGTAGTTACAGGATTGGAGGTCGAAGGGTTTGGGATTGGGGCCGGTAGCCATAATCGCGGCAATCATGGTAGCAACAGCAAAAACATGGTAATTAAGACCGACCGAGAGACGGCGTTCCCAAGGACAGGAAGAGGTCTGCTGTGAAGTCGTCACCCAAATGCCCTGGGAGTCGGGCTTCACAAGGCAGATACACATTGTCGAAATTATGCCCCCTTTTTGGCTACCCTAAATTTTCAGTGCCGTTCTCTAATAAGGACTCAAAAGGGAGTTTCCGAGGATTAGGGGTACCTTAGTTTGGGGTCCTTATAATCAGGATCCTACTATTTGGGGTAGTATATTAGGGTTCCCCATCTCCGGAACCCCAAAATCAAAGGATCCTGCGATTTGGAGTAGTATATTATGTTGGGGAAACCCTAAACCCTAAACCCTAAACCCTTCCCCATTTCCGGAACCCCCCCCCCCCCCAAAAAAAAAAAGGACCCTAATTTTGACAACCACCCACGACTTGAGCCTTTGGCACTTGAGACCGCCGGGAGGTGCAGGGCGGAGAGGCCACTAAGGTCGATTTCATGCCAAAGCCACTGAAAAACCTACCTTGTGTGGGTTCCTTATATGGTTTCTATCTCTCTTTATATATATATATATATAGAGAGAGAGAGAGGAGAGAGAGAGAGTCCCTTAAAAAGTGGTATGTGCAGAATACTTCCCTAAGAGGTGCTGCGACATACGTGCTGCTAGCTGTCGGTATAGATGCCCTGTCGGAACCTCGCGATATACAGACTGGGTCCCTTTCGTGTGCCTTCGCAAATACAATAACCTACTCCCAAAGTGTCCATAAATTAAATGGGTCTGCCATTTCCGGGAACTCCCATAACTCCGCAAACCTTAAACCCTAAACCCTGCTAAACCCCTAACCCGTAAACCCTACACCTGCGTGTTCCGAGCCCACGCCATGCGCAAGTTGAAGACAAGGCACGGAAGAGCTGCGAGACGAACCCGGAACCAAGAATGGCGAAGAGCTGAGCACCTCATTGGGGTTTAGGGTTTAGGGTCTTTGTTTAGGGGTTTAGGGTTTAGGGAGGGTTTAGGGCCTAGGGTTTACGGTTTAGTTTGGGTTTAGGGGGTTTTAGGGCTTAGGGATTCGGGTCGCATGGCGCCGTAATTGTAGGCTCGGACTTCATCACGAGGTCACAAATTAGTACTTACTAATTTCTGAAAAGGACAGCCCCAGACAGCGCATCTATACCCACGATGTGTAAGCTACATACTAAGTCGCCTGATCCTAAAACCCCCATTTATCAACTCATACGCGCCTATCTCCCAAGGTGCTGCACCCAACTCTTCCGTGCGAAACAACGGGTTACAAGCACTACCCGTGGTCTTCCAGCTTTGGCTTAGGATGCTTCAGGGATTTAAGGCTTTGATCGTCCAAACTCTTCAAACAATCCGGAAACATAACATCCTCTAAAACCAACATTCAACCATGATCCAGTATGTGTCATCCCCAAACCCTGCGCCGTACTCTTCGCCCCCGGAAGTAGGGGTTTCAGGGTTTATGGTGTCGGGGTTTCAGGTTTGAGGGTTTCAGGGCTTAGGGATTTCAGGGGTTGGGATTTAGTCCTTCGGGTCTAAAGAATAGGGTTTAGAGCTCAGAAGTTTAGAGTCTTGGTCCAGTTAAAACCTGAAACCCTCAAAACCCTGCATCTGTAACTCTCGCCCTTTTGCCCCCAAATCATACCCAAGCCGCAAACCACAGATATACTTGCAGCCAACGGCGCAGAAAGTCGCTTCTAATTTGGCAAACAGCTCTGCGGCATAGCCATGACCAAACCCTGTGAAGAGACGGGCCTGAGTTCGCCCACGACGGCTCAGGCTTTTAGGGTTTAGGGTTTAGATCTTTGGGGTTTCGGGTATGGGGGGTTCTGAGGTTAGGGTTTAAGGAATATAGATTTTAGGGTCAAGGGCTCAGGGTCTAGAATTTCGGGTTCACCAATCTCGCGAAGACCGCTAGTATATACTAAGAACAATGCTAGCATTTGGGTCGTCAAGGTCCGGGTTCCGCAGTGGAGGCAACATCGGATGGAATGCTAGTGAGAGCGACCCTGCGACGACTGACGTGACAAATAGTACCGTGATTTGTGAAACGTATCCATATTGCTGTCAACAATATCCGAACGGTTGTCGACATGCTTATACTCCTCGAGTTCTTGACATTATTAACCATATTTTCCAAACATGGATAATTAAATGTTAGACCCTACACCCGACACCCCCAAAGCATAAACCCCTAGACTCCCAGCCGATGCTGGTGCGATACTATTGCTGGTGCAGGACCTACGTGCAGTTTCAGGGGACTTTAGCGGTCAGGTTCAGGGTTTGGGGTTTGGGAGGCTGGTTGCGATACAACGCCGGTAAGATCCTGACTGCTCAGACCTCTGATCCTTTCAGTAGCAAGGATGGCTTATGAAACAAGGACTGCTTACGGTCAGCAGTTCGGCTATTAGGCAATCTGGCAGTCTTTTCTGGTCCGAATATCTGAATCTCCTATGAAAAACTCCAAACACTGTTCGAATGGGACTCTATGCTACTTGCACACGGGTTTGGAGGGCTTCGTAAGATTAGATTGGATCTAGAGGGATTGAGGACATTGGTCACGGATTTGTGTTTAGAGTTTCATGGTTCAGGGTTTTAAGGTCAAGTCGGATGCGTCTCTTTCCCCTGCAGCTTCCTTTGAACCTCCTTCTTTGTTCGTCTGGCTCCGAACAGCCCGGACAGTGACTAAGACCTCCAAACCCCGAACTATAAGGGTTTATAGTGTTGAGGGTTTAAAGGGTCTTAGTCTTGGGCTTGGGACCAGGGTTTAGGGTTTCGGGGTTCCGGGATCAAGGCCTAGGGCTTCCATTCCCGCATCCGAGAAGCCAAGAATTCCGGCTGCAGCTTGTCGTAAAGTCGCGTGCAATACTCCTGCAGCTGTTCTGCAGGGGACATGGCTTTAGGGTTTAGAGTGTTAGGGGTTGTATGTAGAGTACACGGCTTTCCATCATTAACCTCAGCATCCTTCCACTAGCTACTGTAAGAATCAAGACTACTCGCCACCCCGACATTGCAACACCTTTCGCATTTTTGTAAAACCACCTGGAACTCTTTTCTAGTACCCCAAACCCTGATAAAACCTCCACATAAGCTGACCTTTTCAGTACCCTAGACCCCGAGCCCGATAGAGGGTCCTTGCCCATGAGGTGGTGGACGCTGGCCGTCCAAGCGCTCCCCAGGTGCCGAAAGAGCTTCGACAAAAAGTCGCTGCCCATCTCCTCTTTGTGCACTTTCGGGGTGACTTGTACTGAAATTTAGACAGGTGGCAGTGTCAGTACGAACATCATAGCAGCTGTCAGCCACGCAAGAAACGTATGACTACATATGACTACGACAGACTTCGACGTAGCCATTGGGGAAAAGTCACCCTTGATTTCAGAACCCGGAGGACATAGACTATCTCGCCCCGGGATACTGTGCTAAGATTCCAAACCCATGAACCTAGTCTTACTCCAGGCCATAGGGGCTCTACAGCTTCAGCAGGGCATCGGGGTACATTCTATGTCACAAGCTCCGAAAAAAACTAGGCCGTAAACCATAACACCCGAAAAAGCCCTAAACCCTTACACCCAAAACACATAAACCCTAAACCTGAAACCGTAGACCCTAAACCGTAAACCTTTAAATACCTTTAAAACCCAAAGCCACGGGCCTTGAAGAGCTCCGAAGAGTAGCTGGCACCAAGTGTCTGAAATAGGTTGGCCGAGAAGTCCTTCGGCGACAACTCCGAGTTTAGTGGGGCGTTTTAAGGGTGTGGGGGTTAGGGCTAGAAATCCTTCTACGATAAGCTTTTGGGGTTTCGGGTTTTTGCGATGCTTGGGTTAGGGCCTAGGGGTTTAGGGATTCTAGGGTGTAGGGTAGGGCCAGGCATCGTCTCTGGATGTAAATTGCCGCAGCTTGTGGCAGCGCAACTGAGAGCCTCCCTCCCTCCCTCCCTCGCTCTCTCACAGTCTATCTCGTTCCCTCTCTCTCTCTCTCTCTCTCTCTCTCTCTCTCTCTCTCTCTCTCTCTCACGCACCCGCAGGCACATTTTCATGATTTGCCCTGACCCGGAGACATTGCGTTTTTTTTGCTTGCTGGGCGTGCTACATACTGGCCGATTAAGCATCGCCGTCTGAAGGCACTGCGCTCAAAAGAACGCGCCAGTGATGCAACACCTTGGTTGATCAAAACACCAATTCTCCCAAGCATTGACCTGAAGAAATTGTTACCCTCAATCCTAAATCCTAAGCCGCACCCCTTAACACATAACCGTAATGCAATGCATGCAGCAGCCGAGGGAGCCCCGCAAAGGAGGGCGGAAGGTTTGGGATGCAGGGCTCCGTTCACAATTCTCTAAACGTTTAACAGGTCCCTGCATTTGGCGGCTTAGGGCCTGAAACCCTTTAAGACCGTAAACCGAACTTAAACCCAAGCCCTCAAAAGCCAAGCTCCGAAAACACTGAAACCCCGACACGGCATTGTCGTCCTCCCCAAGCCTTGCGAAGAGTACCTGGACGTAGTCCTGTGGTTAGGGACGGCTTGGGGTTTAGGGCTCCGGGTTTAGAAGTTTAGGGCCTCAGCTTTACTGTAGGGTTTGAAGTTGATAAGGTTTGGGAGTTTCCCACTGGCCCAAAACCCAAGGAAATAAAAGTTGAAACTTTCAGAATCGACTACCTTATCAGAACACCAAAAGTTGAAAAGTTGAGTTTACAGCCAATAAGATTCATGGATTGGGAACCCATTGATCCAAAACCCTAGGGTTGAGGGTGCAAGCGCTTCGGGATGGCTAAGGGTGCTGAATCTGTCAGCAAGGGAACCGAATGCCAAATGTAAACCCTAAATAAAAGCATCCTCAACAGAAGAAACGAGGACAGGGATGTCTAGATTTACGGAACCTGCAAAGTCAAAACCGCCAAAAAAAATTATGGGTAACGATTGAAAACCAACAAGTTCTCTTGAACTCCTTGTGATGTCACAAAGACCTCATTTTCAAGCCCGCCTTACTTAAACCACCCTGGTGCCTGGCCGAGCCCCACCAGCAGGCCGCCAGCAAAGCCGTGGCCAAGGCGAAGGAAAAGGTCGGAGACAAAGGGGACACCCAGGCCTCGGCTACAGGCTGTTGGTTAGGGGTTTAGGGGTTTAGGGGTTAGGGTTTAGGGGTTTAGGGAAGTTCTAGAAGGCCCTTCCAACGATTGCGCCGAACTGGACGTCCCTGCTGACGCCTACCCTCCCTGAAGCCTGTCGTGGTGAACTGTGCTGCATGGAGGTGCAACCACTCGCAGGTCCACGTTTCTCAGTTAGTGCACTTCTGCATTCATTATACGTTCACAACCCTGCTTGAAGGCTCGGTGTTCCATAGAGTCCTCCTTCTGCAATGTATTGAATGTATTGTTTACAGCAGAAACTCGCAACGCATTGAGCAAGCCTGCCACTTCTTTCATGCATTTAGGTGATTGCTATAGGGGCCGTAGTAATTAGAATAGGGTTTGGGGCCCATTCTACTATAGTTATACTCAGGAACCTGAAAAATAGTCGTAATTATTCAGGCCCCTATAGTAGACAGGCAGACAGCCACGCAAGATGATGGAAGACAGACGGCTTGGTATCTACTTCATGTAGATGCGAGTAAAACTAATGCAATGAAAGATAGCATATGGTGACATGTGACAGGTATGTACGTCTGCATGCAGAGCAACATGTGCGTTCGAAACATGAAATATTCGCGCCTTAGCATACATATGTTGCTGCTTCCGTTGTGTGCACCTGGCTCCTTCGCAACCTGCCTGCGCAGCGCACATGTGTCGCCAAATTTCCCACGCATGACTGCATGCATGCGCACATGCAAACTTCTACTGTGTACCCATAGGCCCCATAGTAGTTCTTTTTGGGATTACCTTATAGAACTCTGAATATGAACCACAAAAAAGGAACTACAATGGGGCCTATGGGTATGCACAATCATACCTGCGTGCACAGCAGGCATGTTCGGGTCCTGTTTCCTGCCTCACCATCTTTGTGAAGCCTGAGAGCATTACAGCTCAAAACCTAAACCTTAAACACCCAATCCCTAAACCCCTGAAACCTTAAACTCGAAACCCCTACCCTAAACCCCCCTCAACCCCTAAACCCGAAACCCTTACAGTAACCCAACCCCTAAACCCGAAACCTCAAACCCATGCCCATCAGAGGAAGACGCCCTCATAGTAACCCATGCTCATTAGATGAAGACTCCCCTGTGATGCTGTGCGACTGGAGTAGAGCACAGCCGTAAACTGAGGCCCAAAGGACCGGTGCACCTGCGAGTTGTGAGGGTTTAGGAATTAGGGTTTGGGGGTTTGGGGGTTTATGGGTTTAGGGGTTTAAGTGTTTGGGTGTTTGGGTGTTTAGGGGTTTGGGGTGTAAAGTAAACCCCGTAGAGTTGCTGGGATTCCTTATACATTACGCTTAAATTAAGGATTGAGACTACGTGGATTCCAACTTTTGGGCTTCTACTGTAGGCCTGACAGGCTCTTGGGGTTTCGGGCTTTTGGTCTTTAGTTCGGGGCTTAGGGTTTCAGGGCTTTGGGCTCGGGGTTTGGGGCTTCAGGATTTGAGATTGGGGTTAAGGGTTTAGGGCTTAGGGTCTGAGGTTTGGGGATTTAGGCCTGTCTGGAGGTTAGGATGTCAAGTTCTATCTGGTGTTCTAGGCGCCTGACAGAGGTTTCGGGTTTTAGGGTTTTAGGGTTTAGGGTTTATAGGGTTTAGGGACAACCCGGACCTGCTGGTTGAGGAGGCTGGTTGTGAGCATTGGGCCTACCCGATTCGGCTTGATGTATCTGGCTTCGCGTGGGCGAATCACTTCAGCATAGTCGGATGTGAGCTATCCAGGTCGCGGGTTCTGTGGCTTTGTCGTGGACTTGCAGTCGTTTGACGAATGGCACGAGCATGAGCGGGAACACAAGGGACAATGCTCGTGCTTCAGATGTCAATGGTCAGGGGCAGCATGACCCATATACAGGCACAACAGACTGTCACTCGTGACATTGGGAAAGCGCAGGAAATGTGCACCTATCACTAACTCCAAGCAGTCATGGCCATGGCACTTCGCGGGTAAAGAGCTGCCCAGCCGTGCCGAAGAGCTGGGCGGTGAAACTAGATCCCAACTGACCTGCAGGCGGGCTCAGTGATTCCAATCAACATGGCTTTATTGATCACTGCTATTGCAATAGTTCGAAATGTCCATGCCAAATGCTGTCTTACACTTTCTGCGAGTATCGCTATTTGCAATCTTGCGCTCATACTTCCACGAGCACCGCCACTACAATGACCCACTACCCCTTCTTTCACGAAGACACTTAAAGGAAACTCCAGAAAGTTGGAATATGGTGTCAGGGTAGGATACCCTATAATTTACCATAAAGGGTTTAGGATACTCATATTCCAACTTTCTGGAGTTCCCTTTAAACCATAAGACTAAGCCCCATGTATTCGTTAACTAGGGCACATTCGGCTCACAGGGTGCTGCTCATACTCTACTTGGCACTAGTTATACGACGGATACTGCCATTCTAGAAGAGTGTTGGGTTCAGAAGTTGGGATTGGGGCTTAGGGCGGTGACGGTGGTGGCTTTTATTCTGAGGGTGTTGCTATTGCTCCCTTCACTGCTGGCATCATTTTCGCGATTGCTGCTGGGGTTGCTTTATGTCTACTGATCGTGGTGTACCTACTCTACAATTGGCATGGATAGCTTACTTGCATAACTTCTACCGTGAGAATTACAGCAAACGAACTAGACTTCGGTCATCTGAACCATGAACCTACTTCAAACCTATATAGGTCACAGGTGCTTTGAGGGAGCATCTACATAATTGACCTTGCTGTTCCTGGGTTTGCAATTTGCCAAGCCCGATCTTCAGATTCTTAGGCCTACACCCCCGAAAACCCTAAACCCTAAACTCCTGAACCCCAAACCTAAACCCTTAAACCTAACCCCTTAAACCCTAAACCCCATAGATCCCCTTTAAGGAACCCTATAGATCCCTTTAAGGAGCCCTTTTAAGGAACCCTTACTAAACCCCCAAACCTGCTTAACCCCCATCACAAGAAGGGGCAAACTCGAAAAAGTTTGGGCGCACCGTACAGGGCGATACAGAACGACGAACCCATCCTCAGGTGCGCAGGAGGAGCGGGTTGAGCGTTTAGGGGTTTAGGGATTAGGGGTTTAGGGGTTTAGGGGTTTTAGGGTTTAGGGGTTTAGGGGTTTATAGGGGTTTAGGCATTTAGGGTTGGGGTTGGTTTTGCAGCTCAGGGTTCAGGAAGTGTTTCTGTGGCGTTTGGTCGCGTTTAGTTTACGGTACCTGAGTTTTTTCCAAGTTATGCTTCAGAGCTTGTTGCGGTCAGAAGTTGAGGATCTGGCTGGTCGGCCCGTCAAGCCCTCAGGCAAATATTCGAAAAAAGAGGCCCTGCCAGTCTTAACCGGTTTCAACAATACAAAACATTGGTTATAGTCAGGGCTGTTCGTTATTAAACAACATGCAAGAAAGGAAATGAAAGAATAACCCAAATCGATACCTCGTAAATAGCAGACAGTAGCAAATGTCCCAACAGCTTTCCTAGAAGCGACGCCGACGCCTTCGTATATCCGTGACCTCTACCCTCTACCCTCAAGCCAAAAGACGCCGTAATCTCAAACCAAAAGCCCTCAAAGCCCGGATGACACCATAAAACCCACACCCCAAAACCCACAAGAAGTCCCTGACACTCATACCCTTAACCCAAAGTCCAAAGCTCGAAACCCCAAAGCCCAAACCAAAAACCCCTAAACCCCTAAACTCCTAAATCCTAAACCCAAATCCCCTAAACCCCTAAACCCCTAAACCCCTAAACCAAACTTTTCCGGGTCTCTTCCGGTGCGCGTCGCCAGTCCACTCGCTTCCCAGGCCCACGAAGAGATCACTGCAGAAGCGATGCCTCAAAGGGTTTAGGGTTGAATTTAGGGTTTAGGGTTTAAGGGTTTAGGGTTTAGGGTTCCTGTTAAGGGGTTTTGGCCTCAACTGGGTTCCTGTTAACCCAGACCCCCGGGAGGTTTCTAGATCCTCCCGGGTTCCTGTTAAGGGGTTGAGGCTTTAGGGTTTGCGGCTTGTGGCTCGGGCTTCGGGTTTGGGTTTAGGAGTTAGGGTTTAGGTTTTAAGGGTTTAGGGTTTAGGGTTTAAGGGTTTAGGGGTTTAGGGATTAGGGTTTAGGGTTTAGGGTTTGGGTTTAGGATTTAGGGTTTAGGGTTAAGTGGTTTGGGGTTTAACCAAGAAACCATATGGGAGTTTCCCAGAATTAGGGGTACCTTATCTTGGGGTCCTTATAACCAGGATCCTACTACTTAGGGTACTATATTAGGGTCCCCGATTTTCGGAAACTCCCATATCATTTACTAAGGAACCCTAAACCCTAAACCCTAAACCCTAAACCCTAAACCCTAAACCCTAACGCACCCTATAACTGGTGGGTGCCTCAGCCGAAGGGACTCTCGGGTTCCTTCATTCAGGGCTAAGGCTAGGGGCCTTGAAAGGCTACTTGGAAGGGCAGGGGACTTAGTAAGGGCTCTTAAAGGGCTCCTTAAAGGGATCTATAGGGTTCCTTAAAGGGGTCTATGGGGTTTAGGGTTTAGGGTCTACTTGGAGGGGCAGGGGACTTAGTAAGTAGGTTATAAGAAGAGTTATAAGTACCCTAAATGGAGTTACCCCAATTATAACCCTACATATAACCAACTTACTAAGTCCCCTGCCCTTCCAAGTAGGGGCTTTGGGGTTTAGGGTTCCGGATCAGCCCGAAACCCTGAAACCCTAAACTCGAACAAAGACTACGAAGAGAGCCTAGATGGGAACTACCCAGTAACCTAAGAAAAAAAAGGCCTCTCTTTTTGGTATTGGGTAACTTTATAAGGAACCTAGGACTACAAAAAAGGAATAAGGGTACTACTGGGCATCCTAGTATTATAGCAAACCCGTAGAGCAGGCTTTGACTGAAAGCAGCCTATGTGCAAGTATGCAAGAACCCTCGCACAAACTGCGAAAACCCTTAGCCCGAAGATACCTGAAACCCCCAAACCTCAAATCCCTCGTTATAGAAGCCGTAAGGGACCCCACTAAAGGCCCTAAACCCCCAAATCCCTCAATAAAGAAACCACGGAGCACTCCCTGTAAGGGAACCCCTACAACCCTCTATAAGCCGTAACCCTGAACCCCGTTTAAACATCCTTCGAAGGATCCCTTAAAGGATTTCTTGAGGGGAGCCTTTCCCCGATCCCTGAAGAGAGCTCTTAAAGGACCCCTTAAAGGAGGAGCCCCTAAAGGGAGCCTCAAAGGATCCTTCAAAGGAGGAGCCCTTAACGGATCCCTTAAAGGAGGAGCCCTTAAAGGAGCCCGTAAAGGGACCCTTAAAGGATCCCTTTAGGAAACTCCACAACCGTCTAAGCCGAAGGTTTGTCGAGCGACCCCAGGGCGAGAAAGAGCTCCTGCACGTAGGTGGCCCCGAGCTTCTGAAAGAGCTCCTTGTCAGAAATAGGGGCTTTAGGGTGATATAGCGGTTGTAGGGTTTAGGGCTTATGGGGCTTATGGGGTTTAGGGTGTAGGGCTTGTAGGGTTTAGCTGCTGAAAGAGCTCCTCCTCCCAAGAGGGCTTAGAGGGTTTTGAAGGCTAACATTTCTTGACCGCTTTGCCCTTTTCAGGGGCATGCAGAAGGAGTACTAGGTACCGCAGCTAAATGCTAAAGACTCAACCCTGGACCTTTGCGTTTGTTGCAGGCGTCCCAAGCATCGGGACCCCTGTGCTCAGTGAGGGTTTAAAGGCAGCATCTCGATTTTGAGATATTGGTGGTTTGGGGTATTGTATGTGACAAGGATTGACAAGGCATACACAGTGGTGGGCTCAAAGATGTGAGTTGAGTATACCGAATTCTGCGCTGGATTAGAAAGGATGTATAATTTGACTGCTTCTCGCACCTATGTCTCCATTCTCTTGACACTGAAACCCTGTACCTCCGAGCATTCCATCCTGAACCGCTTGGAAAAACCCTGAACCCTTCCTTGCAAACCTCTCATTCTCACAGGCTCTGCGAACCTAGAGGACTTAGAAAGCAGGCTTCAAGCAGACCTAGAGATTGGCTGAGCCCGAGTAGGGTACTTCTTCTGACCAAAGTTGTAAACCTACCAAGTTCCTGATGCTTTGGACAACCCTTCTCGAACCCTTATGTTTGCCTTTAACCTTTATAATACCACCCTATGTAAAACATGCCTTTGGGGTAGGGGGGTAGTCTTGTATAAGGGTTTCAATATAAAGGTTGCATACGAGTTCATTGAAGGGGCCCTACAAACATGTCCTGCAGGGATTTAATTTAGGTTTAGGGTTCAGGCTTAGCTTCCTGAAAATCCGTTTCAGTCTTTTGGGTTTGGCTGATGGTTTTGATGATATCGCTAGGTTTAGGCCTTGGGGCTTAATGCTGCTTCGGGTTTGGGCTTGGGTCTATGGTCTAGGATTTAGCGTTTTAATGCTTTGAGGTGCAGGGTTATGGGTAATAGAGCCGCCACTCAAATTGCTGTTGAAACCAAATCTTCTGATATCGGACGAGGCACCGCGCAAAAGCTGGTGCCAAGTTTGCCAAACAGCCTTGGCACAAGGGCTTAGGAAGTAAATCCTGGGTTGATATAGGGGCCTTCAGAATCAGACGAGGGGGCAGTATAGACGATCACTACAATCAGGAACTCCAAGAAAAATAGTCTTCCTAGTTTTTCAGCTTCTATACTAACCCTACCGCGTACCCCAGAAAGTTGGAGCATGGGTTTAGGATGGTTTGTGCTAGGATCCCTTATACTTCACCTTAAGGCCATGAGGATTCTGATGTTCCAACGTTATGGTTTCTACTATAAACCCTCAGCATTAACTCACATCACAAAAAACGTGCAACAACAGCTTCCCACCAAGAAGCTGCGCGGAACTTTCAGCAGACATGGTCGAGAGCATTTCAGAGGCGAAGGCAGGACCTGAAACTCTACCAAGATACTAGGGTTTAGGATTTAAAGCTTCGGGCTAATGGTTCTCAAAAGGTTCTATACTAGGGTTTAGGATTTAAAGCTTAGGGTTGAGGGTTCGGAACGCCAAGGAAAAGAAGTCTGCACGGAAGGATACCAGCATGCCAGCATAATGTCATGAATCATGAACACGAGAACTCGCGATGGCGGTGGCGTTGGTGGTGTTTGTATTGCTACTGGTGCTGGTGACCGTGATGGCTGTGGCCCTCCTCCGGATTACGATGACGACGATGAGAATGATGATCACGGGGAGTATGGCGATGACGAAACCTTTGCCTGTGAGAAGGAGGAGGATGTGATGTTGATGTGTCACGATGAAGATGACACGGATGCGGACATACCTGTAGGAAATGTCGGCATCGCTGTCGTCATTCCGACTTGAAGTTCAGGGTCTGTTCTGCGACCAGTAGCAGGAAGTTGGACAGATGTGTGCTCTTCGCATGGTATTCACAAACTGAATATGACAATGCATCTTCAGAACACCACAACCCCGAACACGCCAAATATGTGGGTTCTGGCAAACGTGTGGAAGGCCTTTCCAAACACAGACAAGCGATGTAAGCACGTCTCTACTCGGGAAAATTGCAGCAATGGAGTCTTGCAAGAGTCTTTATCGGCTTTTCGTGCTGTAAGGTGTATGCCAGCGGCTGATCAATACGCCGCACCGCCTCGTGGTTGGATAAATTGCCTAAACCTTGTCAATGAGGGGAATTCAGTTTATGTGGCCCGAACCCTAGACTAGATCCAACAATCTGAAGAAAAGGGGAAGACGAACCGCCAACCTTCCCGGTCGCGCGGCCTATGCTTTCGAAGAAATTCTCGAGAAAGTCCTTGAGGGGTGTTAGGGTTCAGGTTTTTTTCACGGATAAGGAGGGTTTTAGGGATTAGGGGGAATAGGGGGGTAGTGTGTAGGGGCTGAGATTTAGAGTTTAGGGCATTGCTTGGTTTAGGGTTTCCGTTCTCGAAAGGGGTACGTACTGTCGGCCCTTGAGAGTTTAGGCTTGAAGGTTTTGGGGTGGCGTCAGCAAGTCGCCCGTGGAGAAGGCTCTAAAGTACACCTCTAAACTCCCCTGGACCCTGCGTGACTTGGAGCACGGGAAAGTCTGAGAGAATGGAGGATGTTGCGACTCCAGATGGTACGATTCGCCTCCCTCAACATGCGCTGCCTGAAAAGGATCCCTAGTTGATCGAAACCCTTACACCCTGTATCCTGAGATCCTAAAGCCGAAAACCTTATCCTAAACCCTAAAACCCAAGCCTGTATCTGACTTACGCGTTTCGTGTTTCGGGTCCCCTATCATCGGCATGCCGGCAGAGAGACCGAGACAGACATCTTAACTCTCTGGCGCAAGCGCGGTCATAAGCCCCTGGGGCCCCACCCCCTGTGACGGTGCGGGGTTTGCGGGCCCAAGAAAGCTTGAACCCCTGAACCACAAGTCCTGAACCTGAAACCCTTGATGCTACACACTCACCAGCTCTATCTCCCTGCAGTAAACGGCCTGCTAAACTCTCTCTCTCTCTCACATATATATATATATATATATATATATTTATATATATATATATATATATATATGTATATGTCGATATATCTGTAATATAGGTATCTACGTAATTGCTTTTCTTTAACTACGGAAAACTCCTGCCAAAAAACATGCTTACACAAAAGCGTTTATGCAACCCCTCGAAAGCGTTCAAAGCCGATGAGGAAATGCCCGTATCCTAAACCCCAAACCCCCAAAATTGATAAATACTCTGGAACGCGGCGAAAACCTATGTACAACCATTTCCAGAACCCTTACACAACCCTCCGAATAACACCCAACAGAAATATGACAAACCCTTCAAGAACCATATAATTATAAGAAGGCTTGCAAAAGCCGAGGAAATCCCCCGCAACCTAAACCCTAAACCCTAAACCCTGAATCCTAAAGTCCTAAAGCCCAGACCCTAAAGCCTCAACCGCCTTAACCCCTTCGCAAAAAAACCCTAAACCCTGAACCCTTAAACCCCCACCCCCTCTCCAAAACAAATAAAGGAAGCAACGCCCTCTACTTGGAAGGGCAGGGGACTTGTTAGACCCCTTTAAGGAACCCTATAGATCCCTTTAAGGAGCCCTTTAAGAGTCCTTACTAAGTCCCCTGCCCTTCCCTCTACGCGCCGCCAAGCTTCCGTCTGCAGCTGCGTGAAAAGCTGCGCCGCCCAAGCAGCCCCGAGCTCGACCAGGAGCTCCTTTAGTGAGGGTTTACATAAAGGTTTTTTGTTTTTAGCACCTTTTTCCGTCTGCACAGGCTGGTCTCTGCATACGAAAGGCCAGCATAAAGTTTAAGGTTTAGGGTTTATGGGTTTAGGGTTTGGGGTTTAAGGTTTGATTAGGGTTTAGGAATTAAGGTTGAAGGCTTAGGGTTAAGAGTTTATAATGAGGAACCCCCAAAATCGTGTAGGTAATTGTTGAGGCCCCCTATAGTAGGGTCTGATCTGAAGTCTAGAACTGTTCCCTACTTTCGGGAAGTGTTCACCTCAACTGCGCCAGAAGCCGAACCGAACCCGGAAAAATCCAAACCCTACACTGCCCTAAACCCATGACAGAAGAGACAGACAAGCGTCGGCAGCGAAGTTGCTCCCCAGTTGCTGGAAGAGCCTCGGAACCCAATACCCTAAGCAGATAGATAATAGTGTGTAGGGTTTGGATACTCGAACTCGAAACCATAGCATATGGGCCTTGACAATCAGCACAGTGCTAGAAGGGAACGAAACTGGAACTAGAGAGGGCTAAAAGGGACTAGCGGTTAAGAACTCATTGATGTCTGTACATCGAAACGTGAAACCACCAACCCATGAACTAGCTGCAAGCCCTACCCCGCGCATATCGCCCCTCACTGATATGCTTCTGAACTGGAGCCAACCCTGATTCAAGGATCAGGGCATGTAGTAAGTAGGCTGTAATTTGGTAAAGTCCCATTACAAACCTGGCCACAATGTCCCCGAAGAATCAAGCCGGCACCTACAATATACACCCACGCAAGGGGAAACTCCCAATGAGCTCAGTATATTCGCGCCATACCGAATTCCCTACTGTAGTTGTCAAACCCAGGCCTATCTTTCACTTGAGCATGTGTACAAGGAAAGTACAGGGAAAAAACAAAAGAAAACCCAACAAACAACATTACAAAGAACAACACTCACACAAAAACATGGTGTTTCAGGGCTCATATACAAGGGGAACAGTGACATGCTTCCTACATGCCGCGAGACCCTGCCGCACGCCCTGGGCCAAGTTCGACGAACGTGGCCTGCCGGGGAGTTAAAGTCATACAACCGCAAACCCTGAACTTTGAACGCTTTGATGGGGTTTAAGATTTACTATTATAAGGATCTTATTGAGCAACTCACGGTGTAGGATGAACGTAGGGCTTGGAAACACCATTTTTGGTGTAGGTTGAATTTGTCTGGAGTTTGGAAGTTTAGGGTTCATTTGGAGGCCGAGGGTGCAGGATTTCCGGGCTGGTAGCCACCTATCACTAGCCATGGGCATCAATGTGCAGTGGTTCCGCATCTCGGAGGAGACCATGATAAAATCCCAATACGGAGGATTCCTAAACTCTAAAAATCAGGGTCTAAAGGGGTGCTAGTTTTTGCGCTGTAGTGGCCGGGTCTGATTTCGGGATCTCTCACTTTCCGAGACGCCCACATGGCAGCGCAAGCAGGAGCAAAAAGCAAACAACTGACCAGATGAACGGACCTAGAAAGATGCCTAAACAAATGTGCTGGTGGCCCTTTTCGCAAAGCACCACTCCGAATTCCTCCGCGGACTTCTGCTGCTTTCCTCCACAGGTCGTGGCCCAACCACTTTGTTCGCCAGGACCTTCCAAGTCGGGAGCGGCATCGGCTGCTTCTGCCGCTGGCTGTGGCTGTGGTGCTGCTGCCTCCCTGCTACTCGGCTGCAAATGGGGAGAGCAGGGCCTTGCGGTTGTTCAGCTGCTCTGGCCACAACTCTAGCTTGCCTTGCGGCAATCTCCCCTGCCGTCCTTCTACGAGTACCGTCCTGTCAACAGCAAGCACGGGGTCCCTCCGACGGTCGCCAGTGCCGCCAAAGTGAGAATGGCTGTCAACCGCTCTTGCACACCCGTAGCCCTTGCACATAAACTCAGGAGGACCGGCCGGAGGGGATAACAGGCAATGTCAATATTTCCCCACAAATCCTGATTGTTCCGACTTCTAAACTCCAAACCCTGATTCACCGCCAAACAGTAGAACCCAAACCCAAACCTGTCAGACAGGCTTCGGGGCTTATGCTTTGGGCTGCTTGTGCCTGAGAAGAAGTTAGGGACTGAATCTGAATCTGCGCAAGAGCTCTCAACCTTCATACCTTCGTGCCACAACTCAACCCGGGCCTCTATGTTAGGAATTACTGCTATGATTTGGGGAAGTATCCCCCATAACAGTACCTATAGGACCCTTTAAGACTTGAAACCCCTAAGACCTACACACCCTAAATCTAAGACCTAAACCCCTACGACCTCAACCTTCAACACCTAAGGTAAGAGCCAGAAAGTTGGAATATGATTATCCTAACCCTTCCATGGTAAATCATAGGGTATCCTACCATGAAACCATATTCCCAACTTTCTGGAGTTCCCTGTAAACCAAAGACCTACGCCCCAAACTCCCTGAGTACCCAAGCCCCGAACCCTTAAGCTCCAAAGCTCCAAAGAAATTTAGGGTCCTTGGTTTAGGGTTTAGGGTTTAGGGTTTAGGGGTTTAGGGGTTTAGGGGTTTAGGGTTTAGGGGTTTAGGGGTTTAGGGTTTAGGGGTTTAGGATTTAGAATGGGCCCGCAAAAGGTGGCTGGCGGCACCTTAGCCACCTCGAGGCCAAGTTTGTGAAACATGGCAGCCGAGCCTGAAGGGATCAATCTTTAGGGTTCAGGGCTTTGGGTTTAGGGTCCCGGGCTGGCGAGAGGAATTCTAGGAGGCTCTGTGAGGGTTTACAGGTTTTAGGGTTCGGCGTTTACGGTTTGCTAAGGTAAGGGATTTCATAGGGTTCGATAAAGCTTTGACAGGGATCTATAACGGGTTAGAAGTTTTCGAGCGAGTTTTAGAGGATGCCTCAAACGGTTTAGCCACGTTTATACTGTCGCGGCTACAACTCGACTTGATATTGCTCTTGTATTGTACTTTACCCTAAGGCCCCGAAGTAGTTCCATTTTGGGGTTCATATATAGAATTCTATAAGGTAATCCCAAAAAGGAACTACTTTGGGGCCTCTGCGTACTTGCTGCCACGAACTGTTCTAAAGTCCCAGCGACCCGCCGCGCCCAAGGCTTTCAGGGCAGCGGCTGAGATGACGCCATCGCCCGCAGTAGCTGCGGATGCAGCCGTCGAAGCGAGGCAAGCCTTAGCGTTTAGTGTTGAGGGATCCCTTAAAGGAGCCCTTCAAGGATCCCTCAAATTCAAGGATCTCTTAAATTGAAGGATTCCTTTAAATTGAAGGATCCCTTAAAGTCTGAGTGCTTAGGCGTTGGCAGATTTCGGCTGCAGTTCCGTTGTTGCTTCGATTTCAGGGTTTCGAGGTTTAGGGGTTCAGGATTGCGGTGGGTCGGAGGCGTGTTTGCCACTTGCTGCACTTACTGATTACCACCGCGCGAGCGTTAAACTTCTATGCTCTTTCTATGTGTTAGTTCAGGTTGTTACTGAAGCGCTCGTACGCGAGATGGTACGTAATCTTGTTCTGTCCATTACGGAATTCACCGTTCTGCAGGAAACACAATCTCCGGAAGGGACAGGGACCATTTGAAAGATGAGGGCTCGAAGAACAGGGTTCGGGAAAGCGGAGATGGGCGGTACCAAGGGATCGGAGTTAGTGATTTAGGGTTCAGATGTTCAAGCCTACCAATTTGCAGAATGGATTCGTCGTATCCTACTCATATTCAAAAATGCTGCTCTCGAAATGCAGGTGGCTCCATGTTAGGAGGGACACGAATCGGTCCACACAATGTTGCCAGGCCATGAGACCACCGTCACATACCAGCGGTAGATACGCCAAACCGCCTAAACCCTAAACCGCAAGCCCTGAACCCTAAGCCCTAGAGCCTGAACCCCGAAACCCCTAAATCCCTAAAACCGCAAGCCCTTCCTTGTCATAAACCCTGTTTAGGGTTTAGGGTTTAGAGCCCCCAACCGAATATCCGAAACCAGAAAGCTTCCGATACCTTGTACGGAATAACAGTCGGGGCACTGTGCTGCTCTGGTCACATTGCTTCGCCAGTTCCGGGCAGCAGCAGCAAGACATCATGGTTGCCAGTCTTTCTCGAAATCCCAATCCCAAATCCCTAGGTTTGAGCGGAACCATACTTTCCATTATTCGATCGGCATTATTTTGATGACGCAGAATGTTCAGACTATCATGTCCCTAAGCACCAGACGGCATCATATGGACTCAAGCACAACACCACCTACGATGAAATCATGAAATGCACCTTCGAAGTCATACTTCTGAGGCCCTGCCTGTGGGAAAGGATCCTTGGCAGCAAAAACTGCACTTCAGCGCAAAAAGAACATGACGAATTAGCCTAGGATCAGCGATCGAGTGTTTTCGGGCCTTTACCCCGAATTTTCGCTGAATCGTTTCATTCGTTGGACTTTCAGGTTTGGGGTGCCTCGGCCCTGGATCGAAGGCCCTCCGGAAACCTGGCCTCAGCCCTGACCTCATGGCTTTTGCTCCCAGCCTTGGTTTTTGAACTGCCAAAACCTACTTGTTCTGTAACGATCATATGGCTTCTATAGTAGGGGTTACAATGAGAGCCTACAAAAAAGTAGGCTATGGTAGTTCAAAGTATAAAGTAAGATTGAGGGTTTAGGTTTAGGAAGTTTAGGGCCTAGCTTGAGGTACCACCTGAATCCCAACACTTTCAACCCTAGAGTAGACACCCAGAAAATGTCCGTAAACTGCCTCCAATGGTGCTTGGAACGCCTGCAATCCTTACCAAGAGAAGCCCCAGGCCCCCAAAGGCTGCAAAAGCAAGAGCAACCACAAAAAAGAAAGAAGCGGCGCTTGGCTGTCTTTGATCCGCTGCATTTGCTCGCTGCAATGCATGGCAACCACCAGCCCCGGCGCAATTCCCTCAGGGCGATGCCTAGGGTAGTCCCTAGGCCGGTGAATTGGGCATTCCCTTGTGCAAAGGCCTCTCGGTTTCGGATGTGCGGCTGTCGTCTGGTGCTTGCTTTGAGTTGTCCCTGAAGGAATATGAGAACAATGACCACTTCTACAAGTAGAACCTACTTCTGCTTCAACTTCTCCTACTTCAACTTCTCCTACCTCGTCTTCCACTTCCGCTTCGACTTCGACTTCCGTCTGCGACTACGACTACGACTGCTGCTACTACTGCTACAAAAACCACGACGACGACTACTACTACCACCACTACTGACCACTACGACGACTACCACTGCAACTGGGTTTCACGGTCAAGGGTTCGGGGTTACTTAGGGATGAGGTTTGAGGGCCCGGATTTAGGGTTTAGGGGTTTAGGCTTGGCTTGGGACCTAGGTCTTGCGGTTGAAATTGTCTGTTTTTCATGATCCTTACTTATCTGTGGCCGTAGCCTGAAAAGAACGAATCCCTACACTACAAGGGCGCATTAACATAGAAAACCTCATCTTTGCCAACCCTGAACCCTTAACACTTGCTACCCCAGAAAATCCACACCCTGAACCCTAAACTCTGAACCCCTCACCCCAAAACCCTAACACCGTCAAACCCCAGCGCTCTGCACTCTAAACCCTAAGCCCCAAACCCGTAAAACCGTAAAATCTCAGAGCCCTAAACCCTTAACCCTAAGCCCCAAACCCTTAAAGCCGTAAAACCCCAGAGCCCGAAACCCCAAACCCTAAGCCTCAACCCAAACCCCAGAGTCCTAAACCCTGAACCCTAAGGAGTCTTAGGGTTTAGGGTTTACGATTTTGGGAGTTCCTAGACCCCCGCAACTACCCTCATCCCAATATCTCGGCCCGCTTGAGGGGGCGATCCGACATCCGAGGGCCCGAAACTCACGCTTTGCCTTTGCCATCGCTCCCTGGCCAAATTTCTCGGTCCGGGGTTTCGGGTTTAGGATGTACGTAGGGGTTTGGGGGTTCAGGGTTTCGCGATTTGGGGGGTTGGGGTTTAGGGGTTGAGGTTTGAGGGGTTAGGAGGTTAAGGGGTTTGGGTTTAAGGTTTACGGGCACGAGCTTTGAGTTTGAAGTGAGGCTGTCCCAGCCTCAGGGATGAGCTTGGGGTGGAGGCGGGGGGTCGGGATTTCGTGAGATTTGGACTAGGCTTGTGCCCAACCGTCAAGTTTAGCGGTTTAGCGGTTTAGCGATTCAGAGGATAAGCATTCTTTCGCGATTGGACTGGGCTTTTGGCGTGTGTGTTCGAATCTGGAACTACATGACGGCGTCCAGCGCTTATGGGGTTCTTAGATGTGGAGCTTGAGTGCCTTCAGCGTTCAGGGCTCCACCGTTTTGAGACTCTCGATTGTAGCTCCATGCAGCGGAGCATGAGCTCCACAGGAATGCAGAAATGGAAGTGCGGTCTCAAAGGTGCCTCCGATTTAGGAATCCGACATGGGAAAAAACACAAGACTAGACCACTATCCTAAACCCTACCTGAAGCAAGCTCAACCTGCCTTTTTGCAGGGCCGCTGAAATGAAGTCGTTATTCGGATATGTATTAAGGACACACAGAAACTTGGAAATCCACCCCATCCCGTCCTTCGTCTGGATCGGCTCTCAGCTGACCACCACCTCGAAAAGCCAAGATGGCCCAAAATAGGGGCCGGAGTGCCTAGAACCGAATAACTAGATGGGCTTTGGGGGTACATTCTAGTGTAGTCATAAGATGAACCCTAAGCAAACCCTAAACCCTAAACCCTAAACGTCTAAACACTAAAATGGGCCTCTAGGGGAGGACGAGATGTGTTCCAGCACTGAAGGTGGCAGGGTTTCGGTTCGAGGTTCCCCAGTAGCCCCTCAAGAATAAGGGTACCTTTATTCCTACTGATTGGCTTTTATAAGGGAACCCCAAAACCCTCCACCCTAAATCCTAAACCCTAAACCCTAAACCCTCTAGACCCTAAACCCTAAACCCTCTAGACCCTGAACCCTAAAAGGAAAAAGGTGCCAAAGGGTACCACTGGGGAACCCAGGGTTGATTTGAACCTTCAGAGCCCTCAGCTTCGAGGAACTTGGCCCCAGGTCTGTTGGGATTAGGGACTAAGGTTTCACGCGAATTTGGGGCTTGGGGTGTAGGGTTCAGAGGTTTAGGGGTTTAGGCTTTAGGGTTCAGGGATGAAGGTTAAGGTGCTTAAACAGGTCAGAGCAATGTCATATCATCATATCTCTTGCCTGGCACAGCAGCAGTTACAATGCTACATGACATACAACCTTGAAGTCATATCCTCCGCAAAAAGGTCCAACAACTCCATTAAGTTAGGGACCTTGAAATCAGCCGAACGAAGCCCTGACATACTCGTGCACTCCTATCATATCACCCCTACACGCTGAAAGCCTACTCTGATCCCTATGCACGCAGGCATCATTCAAAAAGCGGAAATCTTTAAGAGCGCCCAAAGCAGTCGTAAAGCCCAGTAATGTAGGCGCCTTCATCAGTAGAATAGGGTACATATGTACATAATATGAATGTGTATGTATATGTACAGACAGGGAGCGGCCTTAGCAACTTTGTCTGGGATTCCTTATTTAAAGGGTTCCTTGCCCCGTTTCTTGTTACTTGTCAATCAATCGAGCTGCCTGACGCGGCGCGGGTGCAGCGACAAGGCCTTCCAGTTGCGTCTGGAAGCCGTCGGCCTTGCTTGTGAAGATGTAAACCCACATCCCCAAACCCTAAACCCTACATTTCCTAAACCCTACATTTCCTAAACCCTACATTTCCTAAACCCTACATTTCCTAAACCCGAAATCCAAATCCCGAAATCCTACACCGAACATCCTACACCCTACATCCTAAACCCTACATTTCCTAAACGCGAAATCCTAAACCCGAAATCCTAAACCCGAAATCCTACACCCTACATCCTAAACCCGAAATCCGAAACCCGAAACCCTATGACTACAGTACTGAAAGGATCCGGGGACTGCACCCTGAGTAGAACCCCTAAACAGAGAAAAAAAAAAGAGCTACTGTATGAGCAACTGGAAACACATCAAGTTACCTTAAACCCCCAAAGGACAAGAAGTTTGGGTTTAGGGTTTAGGGTTTAGGGTTCCCGAAATCCTGAATCTTATACGTCTTCGTAGGACGACAAGGAGCGGTGTACAGCACAGGAGGAGGCCGGCTCACGTTGGATGGCGCGTAGGTGTAGGTGTATGTCTGCGGTGCCTCTGCCGGGACATACTGGTACACCGGGGATGCTGCAGGGACTGCGTATACTGGGGGTGCAGAGGTGGCAGCCGGGGCAGCAGCTGGGGCAGCATAGACTGGGGGAACCTCGGGAGCTGCGGCAGGTGCAGCATACACTGGTGGCACGTCTGGCACCGCAGCTGGTGCAGCATAAATGGGAGGCACCTCTGCAGCTGGGGCCGCATAGATCGGCGGCATCTCGGGTACCGCAGCAGGTGCGGCATAAACCGGTGGTACTTCCGGCACCGCCGCAGGTGCTGCGTAGATCGGGGGTACCTCAGGCGCAGCGGCGGGCGCGGCGTAGATGGGAGGCATCTCGGGAGCCGCTGCAGGTGCTGCATAGACAGGAGGCACTTCCTGGGTTCCGAGCAACCACAGACATGGAGCAGAATTAACAAACTAGACCGTAAAACCCTGGCGACTCAATCTGCACCCTAGTTAAAGCCCAAACACTCGACCATGAATCTAAAACCCTAAACCCTAAACCACTCCTAAACCCTAATAAAACCCTAAACACAAAGTAGGGTACTCCAGACCCAGCTTCGGGCTGTGCGGCCGGCGCAGCATAGATCGATTGCTGCTTTGGGGCCTTCGGTATCGGTGCTGCGTAGAGCGGCTCGTTTGGGCGCAGCACCGGCGACACCTAGGCTTCTCAATGGGCCTATAAGGTAAAAGCCAGAAAGTTGGAATATGATTATCCTAAACCCTTCTATGGTAAATTACAGGGTATCCTACCCTGAAACCATATTCCAACTTTCTGGAGTTCCCTATAAAGGGATCTGAAAAGGGCGCTGTGAGGGTTCTACTAGAATGGTTGCTTGTATAAGGGCTTTATGAAGGTCTTCATGAGGTTTTGGGGGGAACCGAACTGAAGTTACTAGTAAAGGAAAGCAAGTCGTCTTGTTTCCAGATTATGGTACCTGAAGCATTGAGGTTGTTTAAGCACGTTCTGGCAACTTAAACCGAAATTGTATTACCAAAACCATTAAACTAACCGCGGCCCAGAAACAATCGTGATCGGCCGCAGAGCGGAGACCACTGGCTGGGTGAGCGAAGTCGACGGAACAGGCATCGCTGCCTTTGCAAGGGAACGCTCACTGGAGTTGAGGGTTTGAGTCCCTGAACCCAAACCTGAAAATCCCAAACCCTGAAGGGTTTAGATTGAGTGGGGCTTTGGTGGATCTATACTTCTACAATTATACAGGATCCCTTGAGGGATAGTATTCCTGATTTTTCAAGCTCCTATATTACCTTCTGGGGTCCTTACTGTCGCACTCTTTTGGGAATGCAGAAGGGGACATCATCTTTAGGACCCGACAGGGGTCGGGATAATCAAAATCAACACAGGCTTACAGACCCATACAGCCTCTGTATACCATACGGCTTAGGGTTTACTGTAGGGTTTATAGGGTTATAGTACCAGTTTTACGGCTTAGGGTTTAGGGTTATAGTATAAGTATTACGGCTCAGGGTTTAGAGTTTTAGTATAGTTTTTCCCAAAATCTAGTTCCAACAACTAGCCTCCTATATCGCCTTTTTGCCGCTACCTAGCTCTCCACCACGGATGAAACGAGCATAGCAACATCCTCCCACTACTTCCACACCTGTAGCCCCAAACATACGACATGGCAGGCTATTCGGGTTCGGGGTTTCGGACTAGGATTTAGGTAGACTGCAGGGAAGACTGGTATATTTAAACTCGGGACTCGATACTCGGAGTAACCCATACTGTTGATGATATAAATCCTGCATTACCTTAAGGACCCTCAACTATGGGAATTAGTGTATATGCCACATTATGGGTAATGCAGGAATTATATCATCAGCCGTATTTCCCTTCATGTTTTGATCCCCGAGAACAGAGCCCTGCATGCCAAAAAGCGGCCAATGCTGACATCAAATACGTCTAGTTCTAGGGGCAGAGACAAACCCTAAATTTCAATCCCTAAACCCTAGACCCTAAACCCTAAACCCTAAATTTTAAACCCTGAACGCTGAACCCCTCAACCGTACACCCTAAACCGCTTGGGCAAAGATCTGCATGCCAAGAAACGGCCACTGCTGCCATCAAATACGCGCTTGCCGGAGGCTACCCTCGTAGATCTTCGAACCCAAGTGCTGCAGGAATCGGTTTAGGGTTTGGGGTTTAGGGTTCAGGGTTTAGGGTTTAGCTCATGTTGCAAAAAGACGTCCTATCACGGGGTTTGGGGTTTGGGGCTATGGAAGAGTTCGTGCAAAACCCTGCAATCTAGGGCTTAGGACCGTTCAGGACCTGTTCAGGAAGAGCTTCTTCCTGAACACAGGGGTCCAACCGCGCCTTTGGGTATGTAGGGCTTCGCTCGTTTAGGGTTTAAAGATTAGGGTTAATCAGGACGACTAAATCCCTAAACCCTGAAGCCGCGAACTTGTGCACCTTATACCATAAGCAAGCCAGAGATGTGAATGGCGAGGCGCAAGTTACATTAGTACCTCAACGCACTAACTGGGCTGCGGAATCCGAATCCCAGAGGGTCCATATACACTACCATTATGAAGCTAGCTCCCCAAAACCATACTAGGCATGGTTTTTTGGTACCTAACTCCATAATGGTAGCGTATATGGACCCTCTGGGAATGTCTATACTGAACTTAGAACCCTAGCAAAAATTGTAATTTTAGCTGTCTCTTAGGGATTATAATAACCATAAGTTAAAACTATTCCTACGTACCCCTAAGATGTAGAGCCATCGCCTTTCAAGTGTCGCAAAAATTCATGGCAACCTACAGCACTGCACTGCAAAGTGCGTCTCAAGCAAAGGCCCCGAGTGACCAACCGTGCTCCCTAAATGGCTTCCTAAACCGGAGACATCGAAAAGTCCGGCCTTCAAAAAATCCGAACCCTAAGCCCTAAACCCTGAAATCGTTCAATCTCTACCCCCGAAACTCCTGAACCCAAAACCCCGAAACGTTTCAATCTCTAGCCCCGGCCCGACTTCAACCCAAACCCCAAACGAAGTCCCAGCCCGGTCTTGCACCCACTTACAACCCTGAGCTCTGTGACCTTACGCATAAAGAAAAGAGGAGACTTACAAAGTCTGTTATAAGCTTAGGGGTTCGTACAAGGCTTGTTCGACAAGGGTTTATTGGTTGTAATGACGGATTAAGAATCCGGGCACTCTCAAAGTACATTATACATGGTCCAAAGGCAGCTATTTGGCTTATCTACTTACAACTTATAGCCCCAACTCTCTGAAATGCCCCATATGTGGATTCCGCGTAAATTCACCGATGGCCAGAGTGTTTAGTCAGAAACTTTACATTGGTATAGAAGCCTTCAGGGCTTCAATCTCTTACAAGTGGTACATAGGGACTGAATAAGGGATTAAAGGACCGGATTACCCCACATGAGTAAATCTGTGGATGGTGATAAACGAGCTGATGATCCCTCTAGAGCCTTCCAGAGGAGTGTGTGAGGGGAAATATTCTCACCAGCCTGGCCGACCTCAACACATTACCAGTTCATCACGAACGTGCAACGCCCCAAATAACTGTACCTAGAGGTTTTGGAATACACGTGTGCAGCCTGCGCCCAGACCCAGAAACACAACCATGACCTGACCCTGGCATGGAAGAGCTGTTGATCCATCACTTCGCGAGGTGTGCGCGGCGCTGCACGTAGCTGCGAATTAAAGCTAAGCGGCTGCCCGTGCAGCTCTTCGCTTCAAGCCACGGTGTGCCATTGACTCGCTCATCGCCAGTATCATCATCATCATCATCACCACCATCGTCATCCACATTGAGCACAATGTAGTGTTCACCTTTCATTTCAACACACGTGAGGAGCTACGGCAGGAGCTACGGTAAGTCCAACGAAGGATCGCATCACAATTGTCCACTCAGACCACCTGCGCAGAGCCGAAACGACTGGGACTCAGCACAAGTATTGACAATCGGAGAGTGAACCAAGTACTGAGGCCACATGTGCATAATTTGGTGGCAGTAATCATGATGGTAACCAGTAACCAGCCGCAATACTCAGCATCGTCGTCGTCTTTGTAATGTAAAAAGCAGTTTAAGCAGCAAAGCGGAAGAAGTAGTAGTAGTAGTAGTAGTAGTAGTCGTCGTAGTAGTCGTAGTAGTAGTAGTAGTAGTAGTAGTAGTAGTAGTAGTAGTAGTAGTAGTAGTAGTAGTAGTAGTAGTAGTAGTAGTAGTAATACATAGAACCAGTCGTCGTCGTAGTCATAGTCGTAGTCGCTAGTCGTAGTCGTAGTGGTGGTGGTGGTGGTGGTGGTGGTGGTAGTGGTGATACTAGTAGTAGTACTCGTCGTAGCGGTAGCGGTAGCAATGGCGGTAAAAGCCTTCAATCCTGAACCCTCCAAAGAAACCCTTAAACCCCAAACCCGTATAGTAAGGCTTGCAGTACAACCTAAGGGCATCCGAAGCCGTCAACAAAGAACTCCGGCGGGGCACAGTGCCGGCTGTGGACTCGTCAGCCTTCGGCTGCCAAATGCCCCCCGGCTCCAGGTGTTTTGGATCCGCCTGCGGTTTAGGGTTGAACGGTTGGGGTTTGGAGGTTCCGGGTTTGGGGTCTCGGGTCTATGCTTTATCGTTTTGGATTTGATGGTTAATCCCTCGGGCTCATAAGGCTTGGAGTTTAGAGTTCAGTCAACAAAAGCGCTCTCCAGATCCGTAGAAACAGGATCCCACTTAGGGGTATGGGGTCTACATAAGGTATACAGTTTAGGGTTTGGGGTCAAGGGCTTAACAGCCTGTAGCATGCTCCACCGAGCACAGGCGGTAAATGCGATAACATCCAATTATACGGGGCCTTGATCAATCATACGGGGCTATCACTACATTATATAGGAACTATAAAGCAATAAATATACTACATCAGCGATCTGGCGAGACAAGCGAAACCCCGGTGCACGCTATCCGAGTGATCTTTGTTCATCTCATGACACCCGACGCTGACAATGAGTCACAGGCTCTTGCTTCAATGTCAAAGGCTTTGGTCCATAGGTGTGGAGTGGGGTAGCGAAGTTCGAGGGAACACCACAGCAAGCTGTCAGAACCTTACAAATCATGCCGGGGATGGGGGCAATCAAACACGACGATAACCCTCCAAAGCCAAAAGCCGGAGAGACTTCAGAGAGTCTGATCTCAAGTTAACCTTAAACCCGCAACCTTGGCTCCCTCCCCCAGCCTTCCACTAAGGATAGACCCTCGGCGGCACTGACATGTTAGAAACTCGCGCTGTTGATCACTCCCCGTAAGTCCTTCGCCTTGCTTGATCCTTAAAAATATTGGCAATCGCTGCAGCCAATCCGTGAGGGCTGCAGGGAAGTTGGGGGCTTTGACTTCTGCAAAGCGAACGCCTGCCACGGCGAGGCTCCTTGCTCCTCGTCTGCAGAACAATAAAATCTGGCTTTGGGACTGGTCCCCAAAGAGCCCAATACTCCTGAATTGAGACATATACGTACCACAAACTTGCGCAGGGCTTCATATTATTACTTCAGGTATATATTCCTAGATTTCGATTAAGAGGTACTGGGCTCCCAGCACTTCGGACTGGTACAACGAAACCCCAACCAAAATTCGAGAAACGAGACACAGGCACCACAGGACGACTTTATGGTTTGTTGATCCGACAGCAAACCCGTTACAGCTGTGACAGTCCTACTTCACAAATTTGCTTGCAATGCCGTTCCGATGGGCACATCAGGGTTAGCGTTTGTCAGTATAAGGTTTCTGTCAGGATATTGTAAGGATACTGCAGGCATTGCATTCACACAGCAGCTCGCGCAATGCTTTTGCTGGCTGGTGAAAAAGCGCCTCCCTGCCTTACTTACATGCAATGTACATAGCATTAGCATAATGCAAAAACATATATACACATACTCATAGACTGCATATACAAATACGTATGCTACATATACACAACATATACAAATGAATCTACATATACAATACCGTACGTGTACCTATGCCTATGCCTGCACCTTTAGCTTTACGCACACACAGGCAGTTGCACATACACATGCAGAAGCACACGCACACCCATATACTCGTACACCCACGTGGACCAGAACACATACGCATGCATGTACACGTACGCATACTCTTACATACAAATACACCCACACACCATTAATTATACACGTACACATACACGTACACATGCGTATACACATACAGACACAGAGACCTACAAGCACGTACACATACATTTGCCCATATATGCAAATTTACATGTGCACCTACACGTACACGTACACATACCTACTCATGCGCATACGCAGGCACAAACACACACCCACACACACTTACTTACAAACACACACACACACACACGCGCCCAAACACCCATATACACGTACATATACACATGATCGCACATGCACATACGCATATACACATATGCCTACGTTTTCCTGCATGCATACCATACCCATACACATCCACATACACATGCACGTACACATCCACGTACACATACACACAAGCCTACACATACACACACACACACACATACACATACACATATATGTTTTTACATATGTACATATATATATATATGTATATATATATATATATTTTTTTATTTATACTATATACATATATATATGTATTATACACCACATACACACATACACGTGCACATACACAAAAACATATACACACACAAGCACACATACCCACACAAGCACGCACACACCATATAAACATACACACACACACACACTTGCACATACACTTCACACACACACACACACACCACATACACAGATACACGTACACCAACACGCACACACACACACACACACACACGCACACTCACGCACACACACACACACACATAAACGCACGCATCAACCAATATACACGACACATACACGTACACATGCAGATACACATGCACATACACCTATATACATGTAGACGTACGTACCCAACAAAAACACATACACAATACACCCAGGCATGGTCACATGTATACATACAGACATATATACAGACATACAGACATATACACACACGTTTGTAGATACAGACATACATATGCATACTACCCACATAGTTAGATACATAGATACATGCATACGTGCATACATACACACATACATACATACGCATGTACAGACGTTACAGAGCATGCATATACATACACGTACATATGCATGTGTATATGCATTGACATAGGTATAAACTAAACACATACAAAATACACACATACACATGAACACAAATACAGAGATACAGGCATACAGGCATACACACATACAGACATATATGCATGCATGCATCTAACTATATACAGACATACATACATACATACATACATACATGCATACATGCATACATACATACATACATTGTACATACACACAAGAAAACAACGGAGACTCCTATTGCTTCGTCTTCGGCAAGGGAGTATGGTGCAGTATTGCCGCAATACAGAACTTTGGTTGTGCATCGAGACTGATGTCTGTTTGCGGACCTTAGGGCGTACATTTATAGTACATCTAGAGAAGATAAGAGAATGACAATAAGATTGCTATACATGGAACTCTCCTCAGCTATACCGGCACTGCGACACTATCCGGGCGATGAAGGCACCCACAAACAGGATGCCAAAGACGCCAACGTTCTCCTCGATTTTCGCCTCGAGCTGCTACACTGCACTGAACTGCATCTATCATTCTATCATATTGCTTGACTCGACCAACAGCAGAGCCCAAGTCCACTATTCTATGCTGTGATATAACACGCAGGTCATGGGCCTGTGTTCTTCTCGTCGCCGCTTCCTGGTCCTGGACCGGCTCGGCGATGTCGGTTCAAGAGTGTCGCTGGCTCGGACCCCTCTCGGCATTCCACAAGCTGAGCAAGTTGGCTTTGGCTGCTCTGCGTCTGGGGATGGCCGGGGCCCAGCACCTCTACTTGGGCATCCAGGACGTACTGGCAAACTCGCAATGCTTCTTCGGTCCTGCCTAATTCATGCAAGCATTCTGCCATGCTTCCTTGCGTTCTCAGCGTGTCCGGGTGACGTGCTCCAAGAGCTTCCGTCCGAGCAGCCAGGACCTCTTGGTTCATCTGCAGCGCTTCCTCGAACTTGCCCAGACTCTTGAGAGTCATTGCCATACTTCCTTGCGCTCTGAGCGTGAGCGGGTGGCATGATCCGAGGGCCTCAGTCCTTGCAGCCAGGACCTCTTGCTCCATTTGCAGCGCCTCCTCGAACCTGCCCAGTTCCTTGAGAGTCATTGCCGTGTTTGCTTGCGTGGAGAGCGTGTCCGGGTGGCGTGCTCCCAGCGCTTCAGCCCGAGCAGCCAGGACCTCTTGCTCCATCTGCAGCGCCTCGTCGAACCTGCCCAGACTCCAGAGACTGCTTGCCATGTTTCCTTGCGCTCTGAGCGTATCCAGGTGGCGTGTTCCCAAAGCCTCAGTCCGAGCAGACAGCACCTCTTGCTCCATCTGCAACGCCTCCTCGAACCTGCCCAGACTCCTGAGAGTGCTTGCCATGTTTCCTTGCGCTCTGAGCGTGTCCAGGTGGCGTGCTCCCAAAGCCTCAATCCGAGCAGCCAGGACCTCTTGGTTCATCTGCAGCGCCTCATCAAACCTGCCCAACTCCTGGAGAGTGCTTGCCATGTTTGCTTGCACTTGGAGCGCGTGCGGGTGGCGTGCTCCCAGCGTTTCAGTCCGAGCAGCCAGGACCTCTTGGTTCATCTGCAACGCTTCCTCGAACCTGCCCAGACTCCTGAGAGTGCTTGCCATGTTTCCTTGCACTACGAGCGTGTCGGGTGGCGTGCTCCCAGAGCTTCAGTCCGAGCAGCCAGGACCTCTTGGTGCATCTGAAGCGCTTCTTCAAACCTGCCCATGTCCTGGAGAGTGCTTGCCATGTTTCCGTGCGCACTGAGCGCCCACGAGTGCTCTGGGCTGAGGATGGTCTGGAAGAGGCAGAGCTTCAGCTTCAGGAAGCGGGCCCGGGCCTGCACGAGCACCCAGCGAACTCAGCTATAGACTGCATTAATAAGGCTTCGACTTCGATTTTGGTTGCATGCAAGCGACCCCTGTGTTTGATTGTGTTTGTGGATATAAGATGAAGGAATATGGTTGTCTGGTCAGTGTTGGCTTTTTTCTTTGGACATCGGTGGCATCGCAGCAAACAGCAAATCAAAACTAGCCATGTAGACGCTCGATTTTGCAAGCACCAGCTCGCGAAACACATCGGTGTCACCGCAGCAAGTAGCAAATCAAAACTAGCCATTCCGTGCGTACAGCCTTGGCATTCCACTCTTCCCAACATGTCGCAACACCATGTAGACACTTGTCTAAACGGCCAAGAAGCCAACTCTGCGGCAACATCAGATATGCGCTGAGAACTGTTTTCCCCCTATATGTTGGACGCCGATCGACGTGCGAATAGACAGCGACGTGAGATAGAGCGACCCCATGGCCCTTGAAGTCAGTGTCAGCGGCTTTCTTCCCCGGCCCTGCCTCCCACGCCTCTGCGTGGCGCTGCTCGTTCTCCAGCGCGGCTGCTCGAAGACCAAGGCAGGCGATAATTTTTATGCAGCTCACCCCGATGAAGAGAAACTGCATCGTGGAGCCGCCATACGCGATCACGAAAACGGACTGCAGCAATGCTTGGGGTAGGTCTTCTGTAAGTGTGCAGGATGGCTTGCACCGGGGACAGCTGCTTCAGAAGGTCATTCGCGTGGAAAGCTTGCATGTAGGCACCTGAAATGAAGAGCACCAGCACGCCCAATGCAGCCAAAATGTAGCCGAAGTACGACTGCGTGGCCACCGCCAGCCCAATGAAGAGCCAGTCCTTGAACACATCGAGGGGCTCCCCGAGGATCGGCAGCACCGCCTGAACGATTGGGTAGCCCAGCGAGGGCACCTCACAGTCGTTGGGAAGGCAGAGCACAAGGCCAACGGCTTGGAGAACATAGATCAGCAGCATAATCAGCACCCAGAACTCGTAGACCTCCCAGCATAGGCCGTCATGGGCATCCAGGCGACCTGTGGCTGAAGATAACAATGCCAAGGTGGCGCAGAAGATGTGCAGGGCCAGCTGCCAGAAGACGCGGTGCCAACAGAAGCCTTGACCAAGTTCGTTTTCTTCGTTTTTGTGCCCATGAACTGGCTGTGGGAGTAAGCCTTGACCATGTTCGTTGTCTTCGTTTTGGTGCCCATGAACTCGCAGTGGGGTGAAGCTGGGCGGCGGCTCAGACCGCATCCAGGCGGCCAGCCTGCGGCCCTCCCTTCCAAGGCGCGTCAGCAGCTCCCCAAGCACAAAGAAGGCGAAGATCAGCCAGAAGATCGATGACACATAGTAGTCAAACCTCTGCTCCTGCTCGCTTTTGCTAAGCTGGCTCCCGGCATGCGAGGGAAGTGCGTGCTCAGGTCGGTCCAACAAGTGCAGGCAGCTTGCCAGCTGTCTCCAGTCCTTCGGCAAAGAAATCCCCATCTTCGCTTCGGCCCAAACCGATGCGAACACTGCAACTTCCAGAGCTGAGAGCCCACTCAGAACCAGGACGACTTTAACGTATGATTCCGCCCCGCATCGACATCCTGCCGCCGGCAAACAAAGTAACACAGCCCAGAGAAGGGCGAACAGCGGCGCACTTGCCGTCTCGATGGCGAGAAGAAGCAAAACGTCGATCAGGAAATGCCAAACCAAAGTCGCCGGCTTGACCAGATTTGGAACAGCTGGGAGGAAGGACGCGGCCCTCTTGGCCTGAGCTAGGGTGCGTTCTGCCAGGCTCTGGGAGTCGAGGAGCCGCCTCGCAGGCTGGTCCATTGTTCCGGCCGAGAGCAGAACCAGGAGCACACAACATGCCAGCAGGACGAGTACGAGGAGCCGGGACGACGAGATCATCATGGCTCAGGCGGAGGAAGCAAGTCACAGTCAGTTCGTGTCCTAAGATCCGCGGATGCTCACGGGTGCTACAACATCCACTCATCTGCCCGGGCTCTGGGTATCATTCTGCAGAGCATCGCATGGCATGCCCAACGCTCTTGATCTGTTTGTGATGCTACGTTGAGCACGTCGGGTCTGCTGGGAGGGCCCTGTGGACAGCGGCCAAGTCGCAAGAAGTTCACGCATGGCATCTATATGCGCTGTAATTACTGGCCACTATGACATGGTAGGCTATAGTTAATCGACATTCTGCAGGAAAACAGTGCTCCAGTATAGAACAAACCTGGAAGGTTACACCCAAGTCCGGAAAACTAACGGAACCGCCAATGATTGTCTGTGGCCACGATGTATGACACGAAGCTTGCAAGCCATCCCTCCGTCACGTGGTCTTTCCTTGAAGACAGGGTCGGAGCCGCACATTGTAGGATTTCATGTATGTTATTCAAGCTACTCGTCTCATTGTACCCGTGATCTTGGCCACAGGATCAAGCAATTTCCTGCTCCTGCTTGCTCGAACAAGTTAACGCCGCAACCCACGGGAGACCCGAAGCAGCTACCGGAAAACTCCAGCCTTGAAACCGATGGCCTTGCTGCAAAGGTCCTCCTTCGCGCTGTTGGCACTTGAAGGCTTCAACTTAGGGTTCAGCCCAGTTTTGACACTCTTTCTCGTGCTCGCGCACTTCTGAAACATAGGCATACCCAGTCTCCCAAAATAAGGCACCACTATTATACTCTATTGCGGGTCCCTCTCTTCTGAGACTCCGTTTTTAAATGAGACTCCCAAGTACCAATACCGGGACCTCTCCATCTTGGTGCTCTTCCAGAAATAGCAGCCCACCAGTGTTCCATGATTTAGCAGACTTGCCGCCCCCAAGCCGACACCGTCACGACCAACCCCGAAGCCAAGAAGACTTGCACCCTACACACCTCTGCCTCAAAGCCCAACCCAAGCTTCGAATGCCCTGGAAAGTCCCGAAGCCGAAAGAGCAGCATCGAGCACTTTTCTTAAATCCCATCTGGGTGGTTGTCAAAATTAGGTCCCCTTTTTGGGTACCCTAAATATTAGGCGCCGCATCATACTAAGGAGCCAAAAAGGGACCATAATTTTGACAACTACCCATCTAACACTGACAAACACTAGGATACCCAGTAACCTAAGATAAAAAGGCCTCTCTTTTTGGTATTGGGTAACTTTATAAGGAACCTAGGACTACAAAAAGGGAATAAGGGTACTACTGGGCATCCTAGAACAGCGGATATGAAAGCTACGGCTCGGCCTCTGAGATGGTCATAGGCAGGACTTTCATCGGGATGCCTTCAAGGACCTGCAATGCAAGCTTGGCAAAGGGCTCTCTTGGGCGCTATATGGGTTTTATGAGGGGTTAAGATACGGGATCTTAAAGGGCCTCAATAAGAATTTGGGTGCTGGTGTTACGGCTGGGGTTTGAGGCTAGCGGGTTTCAGGGTTTGGGGCTTTGGGGCTTAGAGTGACGCTTTACATGGGCTTTACAAAAACCTGTATAAATGAACCCCAACCCAAACTTAGAAGGGCTCCAGTGTGCTGAGGGCGGTGCTTAGGATTTCTGGGTGCGGGTTGTGAGTCTATAAGTGGTGTTGTGTAATTAGGCAGGTTTTACAGTAGAAGCCCCAGAATGCTGTGCGATCAAGAGGCATGCTACAAGCGGCATCACCCCATCAGCACCGTTTACTAGTATGCCCGGGTCACTTTCTGTGAGGTCTGTTTTCTGAACCGGTGTCCTGACATCACAGCAGCAGCAGCAGCGGCAGCAGCAGTCGCAGTTGCAATCGCAGTCGCGGTAGTGGCAGTGGCAGTGGCAGTGTCCGCGGAACCAGCAGGGGCAGCAGTCGACGCATCCCACCCGGTGGACCTAGTTTCTGGTTTGAGGATTTAGAGTTTAAGGTTTTCGGACTGTTGGACTTGCCCTGTTGGGCTTTTAGGGCTGAGAGCATTGCTGGTTGGAAGCCTACAAGGCTTAGGCTTTCAGGTTTTGCTGAAGTTCAGGTCTTTTCCTTTTAGGACGTTTCTGTAACATATTTTGGGTGGGTCTAGGTTCGAGGGTGCTATTAAAGGCTCTTTGGTTTAAAATAGACCTCTAGGGACGGGTTTACGCTTTGGGTTTATAGCTTTGCACGATGTCTCTGTCTGGAGCCGGAGTTTCTGATCAAGGTTCAAACCGCGCCACACCCGTTCTTCCAAACGCCGGGAAACCTTAGGCCCTGAACCCCAAACCCTACAACCCGAAACGCTAAACCCTAAACCTCTAAACCCTAAACCCCTAAACCCTCAAACCCCAAAACCCTAAACCCTAAGCCCTAAACCCCTAAACCCCTAAATCCTACAACTTCAACCCACAGCGTAAGCCCGGTGCAAGCGAAAGCCTAGGAACCCAGAACCTGCTGACGCAACAAAGATCCTAATCCCTGCAGACCCAGGCAAGGCTGATTGTGAAAATCGCGTAAATTACAAGGGCCTTGCATGTTTTGATGTAAAGTACCTTCCTTGATTAACGGGGCGTTGAGCTCTCTTGGATCTTGCTCTCGCTCGGATGTCTTTGCTCACGCGTCGAGGCATTGTAATGGTTTAGGGCTTAGGGTTTAGGGTTTCGGGTTCAGGGCTGAAAGCTTGTAATGAAGACTTTTCATGGTTTTGGAGTTTGGGCTTGCAATAACACCCCTGGATTTGCATGAAAACTCGATGAAGGCTCCTATCGTGATCTCAGGAATAAGCTATTCCTCATTCAGGGCGGATGCGGAATTATGCTCATCTAAACCCAGGAGCCCAAATTCCTGACTAAGGAAAGCCCCTACCGTTACATCTATAAGAAACCTAACACGAACCGTGGCTTCCCGTAAACCCTTAACCCTAAACCCTATATGACAGTATATGACTCCACCAATGCCTTCGGCCTTCAGGACCCCCGAAACTCCTAACCTTCAACTTCTCGTCTCAACCCCACATCCGGAAACGCGTCCCTAAACCCGAAACCCTACCCCTAAACCTTCAGAGCATCGGAACCGAAACCAAGGGTTCAGCCACAACCGCCAAAACCCTTCGACCCAAACAGACATCCAGCCCCGATCTACGACCTCAAGCCCTCACGAACCTAACACGCCCCAGTTAACCAAAGGCTCCAAGACCCAGAACCTGGAACCACTTCGCTCTACAATACGCTCAAAGTCTAAAACCCAAACCCCCGAGCCTGCAAGCCTCACAGCCCCGAAATCCACCAATTAAGAAGAACAACAAATGTTTGAAAGCAACGACCCCGCCGCCCCTCCTACACGAAACCTCAAACCCTGCCCCCTCCCTCAAGCAGCTGGGTGCCGCACCCGACCCAGAGAAACCACCAAGAAGCAGGGGCCTAAGAGCTGGGGGCCTTAGCGCTCGGAAGGGTTTAGGGCTCGGGGTTCGGGGATTAGCGTTTGGGGCTTGGGGTTTAATGGCTTAGGGTTTCGGGGCTTAGGGCGTTTTTTTGAGGTGGGGGCGGGGTCGGGTTTCGGCTTAGGCTTTCGGGTGAATTTGGGTGTTGGGTTAGGGCATACAGTAGGGCTTAGAAAAGTCAGAACCTTGGGTTGTTTGCTTTTGTGCTTTCTTCTTAGATGTTTCTGGGTTGTAGGGTTTTGGGGCTTAGGGCAATACCAAGGTTGAGGGGTTTATGGGGGAGGTTGGGGTTCAGGGTTAGATTGGGGTTTAGGCGTAGAAGCAGTAGTAGCCGCAAGAGCAAGAACGGTACTAGTATCAGCATCATCATGGTCATCGTCATCATCACCGTCATCATCATCACCATCCCCATAGTCGTCATCACCACCGTCGTTATCATGGCCATCATCATGACCGTCATCCCCACAATCACCGGCGACAATGACAACGTCTCAAAATGGACTTCATCATCGTTGCAGCTGCACCAATCACCATAATCGTAAAAAGGCTGGTATAGCAACAGGAATACCGACATAGATGGCAATGCAAAGGGGAAAGGCAGTAAATCATGACATGTAGTAGTACTAATGCAGACAGAGACAGCTAGCAGAATGATAACAGAATTCTTACAGGATGTTGGCTATTGATTCTGCTTTCTTGCATCAAAGATATCCTACTTGTAGTGCTCGAAATACCTCGAAACCTGCAAACCCTCAAAACCTACGTGGGCCCTTAAACCCGTGATATATGTATGTAATATATTATACTATATACGATATACTTTATATTCTATTTACTACTATAATATAGTATATATGATATATGTTATATGATATATCATATTATATATATATATATATATATGCTTCCCCCCCCCCCCCCAAAGATCCGCGCATTTTGGCTTTATTCGGAAGGAACCCCCCCCAATATGAGTCGCAATTTGTTCTTAGTCGGAAGGAACGCCCTCAAATATGATTCGCGCGTTTTGGCCTTATTAGGAAAGAACCCCCTCAAATATGACTCAATTAATCCGAAACAACCCTTCCATTCCACAGCATTGCCGGAGTACCATTCCACAGCATTGCCGGATTACCCTTGGTACCCACATCACTTACAACAGCATGTAGCTGCAGTATTTGTAAACCCTTATGCATGTCTCTTTGCATATGGACACGGGTGATGGACATAAAGCGTAAACTTTCCGAGGGAGGAATATGCGAATACAAACGAACACGACTGCACCTCTGAAATGAAAAGACAACGACAATGTGGACCGGGTGATCGGTGATGGAGACAAACGGTGGCACAATGATCGTGACTTTAGGGTCTGTTTAGCTAGTTTTTTATATAGACAATATCAAACGCTTAGCTAAATGCTACATAGCCATATCACGCATTCTACAAACCGAAACCCAGAAAGTTTCGCACTGATTCAGACATAGAATTAAAAGCACAAATGTCAAATTTCAGGTTCGTCCACGCATCCCGGCACGCTCGCATGCAGGATATTGCTATGCAC